TTCGGGTCCCAGCCTGGGTCAGGCTGACTTTGCTCCAAGCTCAGAGAAGAAACAGCCCTTCCTGCACAACCTGGGGTGGCCTCAGCCTACCTGCACCGGGGTGGGCACGAGGGCAGTGCTTCCCTCAAGGAAGGGGACTTTTCTCCTCCTGAATGGACACACCACTCCAGTGGTGACAGGAGCAGTCTTCTCTGTTGCCCCTTCCTGCCCTTTATATCCTGGCCAAGAAGGGGCCTAGCCCAGGGGACGAGGCAGGGGTCTGGCAGTCAGGGCTCCAGGAGCACAGTCACCAGGGAGGCCCCAGGCGGGGACACCAGCCAGGGCTGGATGCATCTGACCACCCAGTCATGTCGGCTGGACCCGAAGCTGGACAGCAGGGTGAGTGGGGTAGGACCCTCTGGGAATGGGCTGTGACTGCAGAACCTGACAGGTCAAAGACATCCTGGCCTGGGCCCAGGGGTTCCCTAGGTTGTCAGTAAGAGGCGGTTGTCGAGATTCAGACACAGCTAGGACACTCTCACGTTCAGGCAAGCCCACAAAGCAGAGCATTTGGGTACTTCCTGCTGATCTGTGTCCTGACAGGCAAGGCCATGGTCACTCACTATTAGGGAACAGGTACCCGAGGCCCACAATTTTGCACCAGGTTCCAGGACGGAAGTAGTCATCAAAACTGGGCAGGGGAACAGGGGACACTCTGTGATGGATATGAGCAGGCGAGGCCAGCTTCAGCAGGGCGATGTCACTGTAGGCAGTGGTCAAGCTGAACTTGGGGTGCATGAAAACCTGTCAAAGGACATAGATGAGGAGGAGAGACCATGAGCACTGTGTATCCAGATCAGGGAACACAGATGCAGGAAGACCATGGGAAGAACTGAGGCTGTCTGTGGCTCTAGCCTCCTCAGGGGAAGGGTCTTCTCTGCTCGTGAACTAGAACCCACATCTGCCTTCAGTGCCCCATGAGTGGGTCTGAAATACCTGGGCAATCCTCAGAACTTCAACGTTTGCATCAGAGGTATTTACTTGAAACAGCCCAGTCAGAACTCGGGCAGAGGTCCTAGAAGGAGCAGGCTGTAAGAAAAGAGGGGGAGACCACCACCCTCCCTTGCATAGGCCTTCCTGAGCCTCACGTGATATTGCAGTGGGCAGCGGTGATCACCCAGAACTTGTCGATCAGGGAGCCCCCACACTTCAAGCGTCC